AGCATAGCTTATAGCTATATTTTAGGTGAGGCAGGTAGGTTTTAGGGAGCATTAATCGAATATTAAATGAGGGACTAAGAACTCCTCCTGGGGTTTTTGTACCAAAGACATTTCTTTGAATCATTTTGAAACTTGAAAGGACAGGGTACCTATTTGGGGTTCCCTATTACCGCAGAGAAACTACCCCCAAATATTCATTTTTGGCATTTCTGTAGTTTAAGGGTTTCTTTCGAAATACAAATCGATTTTAGATCAAAAAATGGTTAAAACTAGTAAGGTGTGTGCAGTGAGAAAGGTGGAAATACAGTTCTGCACACTTTTATTTTTCATGAACCCATAGGTGGGAAAAAGTTGATGTTGTTTCTGTATTACGTATGTTAAGTCATTTTTCAAAAATTTTCAAAAAAACTGTTAAGGAGTTCGGGCCTTAAAAGTACGGCTGTTGGGTTGGGTAGGCACAATGAGCTATTGGTCCGGGAAAGTAGGAAGCGCCCTCAATGTAACGAGTTTTACAGTCCCAAAGGGGGTTATAGGCACGTGCCTTAAGTTCTGAGAATATAAAGGGTTATACCATCCCCCAGGAGCATTGCGCCCTTTGGTTAAGCATTATTAATTATACCGGTAAAGGGGCAAAATCTCTCATTTTTTGGGCTCTAAATTAATCATTTTTCAACTTTTTTCTTCGAGGTACCTTAAATTTTTTTTAAATATAAATGGAAGGTTTTCTACCGGGATGTTTTGGACCAGTCTTTATGAGGTATTTGCTTTTTTCAAAGGAAAGGGATGAGCAACATTCCCCAGTTTTTTTCCCTGGTTATTTTATTTATACCTTTCCAAGCCAAACTAAAAAGGGGTGGCCTATTTAATCCCAACAAACTGTTCCCATTCCTGTTGCTAAGTTTTTCCCTTTCTATTCTTTGTTTTTTGTGCAGTTGGAATGTTTGAGAGGTCGGGGGTTCTACTTTCAGGGTAATCTTTACAATCCCCCTAGCTGCTGTGTTAATTGCGCAGCTGTGGACATTATAGTATTACATTGGTTTTTTTTGTTATTTATGTGGAGGGCTTTGTTTCCTTTTCCCTGCCCACTTGATCTTAGAACCCTCAATGTGGAAATTTAAAGTCATCTTAAATTTTTTTGTGTGCCAAGGGGGCTCGTAATTCTATACCCTTGACCAAATGGTTTAAAAAAGTTGTCTCTTGTTCGGTTTGGAATAATTTCCCCCTTCTGTATTTAGCTCCCCAGACAAACTCGAAAGACTAAAAAAAATTTAAATTTTTGAGTTTGTCTCCATGTGGGTTTTACCCTGATTTTTTATCATTATCTTTTTTTATTATTATTTTTAAATTTTTATTTTTATTATAAAATAGGAAAAAACATTTTAAAATTTCACATTGCCAAAAAAGATCAGTAACTTTTTATGAAATTAGCTTGTTAGGGGGTTTTTTCTCAGTATTTTTCATTGAGAAAATGAGGTGTCTAAACCCTTTTTTGGAAAGAGGGTTTCTGGAGTAAGTTGAATGATTTCCAAGCTATACAACAGGGAGTGAGGGAGGAACAAAAGGGTGGGGAGGGCAAGCAGGTAGTAGGAAGGACAACGGGAGTGAGGAGGAACAAGAGGTAGTGGGGGGGAAAAAGGGTAGGAGGAGGAACAAGCAGGGAGTGAGGGGGAACAAGCGGTGTGAGGGAAGGGCAGCAGGTAGGGAGGGGGGGAGAAGCAGGTTGAGGGGGGAAAAAGCAGGTAGTGAGGGAGGAACAAGCAGGGGAGTGAGGGAGGAACAAGCAGATAGGAGGGAAGGACAAAACGGTAGTGGGGGGAAAAAGCGGGGAGTGAGGGGGAACAAGCGGGGGTGAGGAGGAACAAACAGGTTTGTGAGGGGGAACAAGCAGGGGTGAGGGAAAACAGCAGGGGGTGAGGGAGGGAAAAGCAGTAGGGGGGAGGGAAAAAAACAGGTAGTGAGGGAGGAACAAGCAGGTATGAGGGGGGAACAAACGGGGTGAGGGAGGGAAGAGGTAGGAGGGGGGAAAAAACAGGGAGTGAGGGGGAACAAGCGGTAGTGAGGGAGGGAAAGCAGGAGTGAGGGAGGAACAAGAGGGGGTGAGGGAGGAACAAGGAGGTGGGGAGGGAGGAACAAGGGTATGAGGGGGGACAAGCAGGGTAGTGAGGGGGGAAGAAGCAGGTAGGAGGGAAACAAGGGTGTGAAAGGAGGAACAAGGGTTGGAGGGAGGAAAAAAAGGGAGTGAGGGAGGAACAAGCAGGTAGTGAGGGAGGAACAAGCAGGTGGTGAGGGAGGAACAAGCAGGTAGTGAGGGAGGAACAAGCAGGTAGTGAGGGAGGAACAACAGGTATGGGGAGGAACAAGCAGGTAGTAGGGAGGGGAAAAAGCAGGTGGTGAGGGAGGAACAAGCAGGTGTGGGGGGAAAAAAGCGGTTGTGAGGGAGGAACAAGCAGGTGGGGGGGGAGGAACAACAGGTGGGGAGGGGGGGGAAAAAGCGGTAGTGAGGGGGGAAAAAGCAGGGGGTGAGGGAGGAAAAGCAGGGGGAGAGGGGGGAAAAAGCGGGGAGTGGGGAGGAAAAAAGCAGGTAGTGAGGGGGGAACAAACAGGGATGGGGAGGAACAAAGCTAGGAAGGGGGAAAAGCAGGTAAATAGGGGGGAAAAAGCGGGGTGAGGGAGAAACAAGATTTTTAAAAATGAGGGGAAAACAAAACAAGCTGAGGAAAGGGGGGGGTACCCGAGTGTTTAGAATCTTTCTCAGAGCTGAGGGAAGGTGGTGGGACCTGAGTGTTAGCACATCTTTTTCAAAACTGAGGAAAAGGGGGTGGGTACCCGAGTGTTGCAATTTTATCAGAGCTGAGGTAAAGGGGGTGGGTCTGAGTGTTAGAATCTTACTCAGAGCTGAGGGGAAATGTGGGTACCCGGTGTTGCACATCTTACCGAGCTGAGGTAGGTGGTGGGTACGAGTGTTGCACATTTACTCGAGGGGGAAAGGGGGTGGGTACCTGAGTTTGCACTCTTACTCAGAGTGAGGTAAAGGGGGTGGGTACCTGAGTGTTTTTCCATCTTACTCAGAGTGAGGTAAAGGGGGTGGGTCCCGAGTGTTGACATCTTATCAGAGCCCAGGTAGGGGTGGGTACCGGTTTTGCACATCTTATCCAAAGGGGGAAGGTGGTGGGGACCCGAGTGTTAGAATCTTACTCAGAGCTGAGGTAAGGTGGTGGGTACCCGGTTTTAGTACATCTTTCTCAGACGAGGGAAAGGGGGTGGGGGACCTGAGTGTTGCACTCTTACTCAAACTGAGGTAAAGGGGGTGGGGACCTGAGTGTAGAATCTTACTCGAGCTGAGGTAAGGTGGTGGGGAACTGGTGTTAGTACATCTTTCGAATGAGGTAAGGGGTGGGTACCTGGATTTTAGCACATCTTATCAAGCGAGGTAGGTGGTGGGTACCTGAGTGTTAGCCATTTACTAGAGCTGAGGTAAAGGTGGTGGGTACCTGGTGTTAGACTTTTTACTAGAGCTGAGGAAGGTGGTGGGTACCTGAGGTTAACACTCTTACTCAGAGCTGGGTAAAGGGGGGGGGTACCCGGGTTAGCCATCTTTTCCCGGCTGAGGGAAAAGGTGGTGGGTACCTGAGTGTTAGCATCTTATCAGAGCTGAGGAAGGGGGTGGGTACCTGGTGTTAGCACATTACTCGAGCTGAGGAAGGTTGGGGGGGTACCTAGTGTTTTTTAAATTTTTTCAAAGCGAGGTAAGGTGGTGGGTACCCGAGTGTTGACACTTACTCGAGCTGAGGTAAGGGGGTGGGTACCCGAGGTTAGACATCTTCTCAGAGGAGGTAAGGGGGTGGGTCCGGTGTTTCAATTTTTATCAGAGCTGGGTAAGGGTGGTGGGTACCTGAGTGTTAGCACATCTTTTTCGAGCGGGTAAAAGGGGGTGGGTACCGAGTTTTAGCAATCTTACCCGGGGAGGTAAAGGGGGTGGGTACTGAGTGTTGCAAATCTTACTCAGAGCGGGTAAGGTGGTGGGTACCTGGTGTTGAATCTTACTCAGAGCGAGGTAGGTGGTGGGTACTGAGTGTTAGCACCCCTTTTCCAGAGCTGGGAAGGGGGGGGGTGTTAAAAATTTAAGGGGGTGGGGTTACCCGGTGTTAGAATTTCCTCAACAAAGGGGGGGCCGGTGTTTCCCCCCCCCCGGCTGAGATGGGGGTACCTGAGGTTTGCACATCTTATCAGGCCGAGGTAAGGTGGGGGGTACCCATGTTAGCCATCTTTCAGAGCGAGGTAAAGGGGGTGGGGGACTAGTGTTAGCCCCAAATTTTCTCGGCCGGAAAGGGGGGGGATAACCTCTTAAATCAAAATAATTGGTTATGATTTAAATTTTTTGAAAATAATTTTGGGGGCCTGGGGTTAGTAAAACTTATAGGGAGGAAGGGTGGTGGGACCATGTTGACATTTTTATCACCCCAGGAATGGTTACCCCGAGTGTTTTAACATTTACCCAAAAAGGGGGGAAAGGTTTTGGGGGGTATGTGTTTATCATTTCTTTCACCCGGGTGGGGTTAACCCGTGGTTAGAAACCCAACTTGGGGGGTGGGGGGTTACCTGGGGTTTGGGCTCACCAACCCCTGGTGGTGGGTTTTGGGTGTTACACATCTTAATCGGTGAGGAAAAGTGGTGGGTAACCTGGTGTTAGCACAATTTTTCAAACCCGGGGGGGATAACCCTAAATTGTCAAAAAATTCGTTTAAAAAAAAACCATTTCCCCTTTTTGTGAAAAATAAAATTTAGATCCTTCAAAAATTTTTTATGGCAAAACTAAATTTGGGTTTTGAAAACAAAAAAGTTGAAAAATACCTTGTGGACAAATTTTTTTAAACTTTTGGGTGTTTTTACCAGCCCCTTTTTAGTCCAAAAATAAAAAAACGGGGTAGGGAAAATTTTCAATTGTTTGGGGGGTTTTTTTATCAAATTTTCCCCTCCCCTGGGGTTGTCACACCATACCCATCCTGTGGGTGGTAGCCACACTATACCCATCCTGTGGGTGGTAGTCACCCCATACCCATCCTGTGGGTGGTAGTCACCCCATACCCATCCTGTGGGTGGTAGCCACACCATACCCATCCTGTGGGTGGTAGTCACATCATACCTATTCTGTGGGTGGTAGTCACACCACACCCATCCTGTGGGTGGTAGTCACACAATACCCATCCTGTGGGTGGTAGTCACACCATACTCATCCTGTGGGCAGTAGTCACACCATACCCATCCTGTGGGCAGTAGTTACACCATACCCATCCTGTGGGTGGTAGTCACACCATACCCATCCTGTGAGTGGTAGTCACACCATACCCATCCTGTGGGCAGTAGTCACACCATACCCATCCTGTGAGTGGTAGTCACCCCATACCCATCCTGTGGGTGGTAGTCACACCATACCCATCCCATGGGTGGTAGTCACCCCATACCCATCCTGTGGGTGGTAGTCACACCATACCCATCCTATGGGTGGTAGTCACCCCATACCCATCCTGTGGGTGGTAGTCACACCATACCTATCCTGTGGGTGGTAGTCACACCATACCCATCCTGTGGGTGGTAGTCACACCATACCATCCTGTGGGTGGTAGTCACACCATACCCATCCTGTGGGTGGTAGTCACACCATACCTATCAGGTTACAGAGGTACATAACGAGTCCAGGGACTGAACCCCAAAGTTATGATAGCTGAACTAGTTACAAAGGTAATGAACTCCAGGTAGATCTGCTCACAATCATGGCAAGTTACAAAGGTAATGAACCATCTACACTCCTTTACATGGTTACAATCATGAGTAATGAGCCACTGACACCTCCACACTCGGTCACAATTGAAATGAGTTATAGGTACATATATTAAGTGGGTCGTACACCCACACGAGGAGTGTAATCAGTCACACTCCTCCTCTATCCTTCTCTGTATTGGACTAAAGAAGCCAATGACTTGCAAAACATTTCCTCAATAAAGATTCCCAAAATGTTGCACAAGTGTCTCATTCTTCAAACCATAAATGATTTATAAAACTAAATCATTCTTTCATCTATTGAGTCAGAAAAGTTTGTTGGATGTCAGGTTTAACTCTTATCTACAGTACAAGATGATTAAGGGTGCATACTACCTGTTCACTGCCATATACACTGCTGTTTGCAGTGAATGTATATACACAGCTCTTCTGTTTCCCATTGATGGTATATACACTGCTGTTCCCAGTGTATATACTCTGGGATCTGCTTTTAATACTATCTTTCTATTATTGAAAAAATAAATTACTACAAATAAAAGCCAATTTCCTCAAGAAATCATTAACCTAACAAAGATTTCTGTATTTCTTGTATGCATTGACATCATCTTATTAATTTTATATTGCAGCGCTGTATAGCCCTTGTAGCTTAGCGCTTCTTTTTAATTATAATAATAATAATAATAATTAATTTTATCAAAGATTTATATAATCTCTCACCAAAGAGTACATGCATGTCTGTGTACTGATAGGAAATACTTGAAGACTGTAAAAATAATCCATTATTAGCACTAAATTTATGTGCATTAGGTAGCCACCTGTGTGTTGTTACCTAGTGCATTACATTATGTGAAAGTACACAAGCAGAAGAGGGTTAGCATCTCTGGAAATGCGTTACCCTGATAACCAGGCTGAGGTGCCTAAATCTTCAGGTTAGCCAGGGCAGGGATAATGGTCTGGTAGATCTCAATGCCACGTAGGAATACTTTCTCGTTGAGGAATTCATTGTGGTCATGAAGAAGGATTGGTGTTCGGTTCATGGGAGAGAAGCCAAGTGCTGGAATGTTAAGCTGAAAGGAACACAACATCTCAATATAAATTTTTTAAAAGATTTCATCTTAAAATCCTAAAACCTTCTCTATTAAGTTAAACATATGGATATTGGTATATAGTTTTATTTTCTCTCACAAACTGAAATTTCACACCATCGTAATTTTAACACTACGTATATGGAAGAAGACCTGCACACAGTGCCAAGTGCCGACTCACAATCATGAAACCAAAATACTTCAGTTGCAAGCACAATGAAAGATATCTAGCACAAAGCTCATATTGCAAACTATGATGCATTAAACTAGGTGAGATGGTTATTAATTTTTTTAACACACTGATCATTTCCCACCAAGGTAGGGTGACCAGAAAAAGAAGAAACACTTTCATCACTCAAACCTTCACTGTCTTGCCAAAAGCATGCTGATACTACAGTTCAAAAACTGCAACATATCTCCACCCTTCCTTCATAGTGCAGGCACTGTACTTCCCACCTCCAAGACTTAAGTCCTGCTAACTGGTTTCCCTGAATCCCTTCATAAATGTTACCTTGCTCACACTAACAGCACGTTAAGTCATAAAAATCATTTGCCTCCATTCGTTCCTATCACGCTCACGCATACTTGCAGGAAGTCTAAGCCCCTCACACACAAAACCTCATTTACCCCTACTTCCAACCTTTCCTGGTATGACTCCCACCCTACATTCCTTCTATTACAGATTTATGTGCCCTCCAAGTCAATCTATTTTCTTCCACCCTCTCTAAATGTTCGAAACATCTCAAGAACCCCTCCTCAGCCCTCTGGATAATACTTTTAGAAACCCTGCACTTTCTAATCTCCAAGCTACAGACTCTCTGCATGACATTCACACCATACACTGCTCTCAGACACATCTCCACTGCCTCCTGCCTTCTCCTTGTTGGAACATTCACCACCCATACTTCACACCCATATATGACTGTCCATGTAACTATACTCTCATACATTTCCCTCTTTGCTTACATGGATAATGTTCTTTGTCTCCACAGACTCTTCAGTGCACCATTTACCTTCTTTCCCTCATCAGTTCAATAGCTCACCTCATCTTTTATAGACCCATCTTCTGACAAATCCACTCCCGAATATCTGAACACATTCACTTCCTCCTTACTTCCTCCCTCCAATCTTTCATTACCTTAATTTATATCCTCATTACCTTGCTGTTTCCTATGTTCATTTTTAATTTTCTTCTTTTACATACCCTCCCAAATTCATCCACCAACCTCTGCAACTTCTCTTCAGAATCTCCCAAAAGCACAGTGTCATTAGCAAAAGGCAAGAGTGACAACTCCCATTTTGTCTTAGATTCTTTATCTTTTAACCCCCACACCTCTTACCAACACCCGAGTATTCACTTCTCTTATAACCCCATCTCTAAATATACTGAACAACTATGGTGACACCACACACCATTGTGTAAGACCTATTTTTACTGGGAAATATTCTCCCTCTCTCCTAAATAATAATAGTAACAATAATCTATTTCTACAAGTACATATTACAACTATTACAGACCTAGTTGAAGTCAGTGACATACTATACAGAAAGTTCCTGGTTATGCAGAGCATTTCTGGCAACTTAGGTTAATCTTGTCCCCCAGGATGCCACCCACAACACTCCACTAACACCCAGGTACCTACTTACTGCTAGATGACCAGTCACAACAGGAAACACGTCCACTTGTTATGCTGAACATTTCAAGCAAATTAGGTCAGTGTCCCAGGATGCGACCCACACCAGTCGACTAACACCCAGGTACCCATTTTACAGATGGGGAACATATACAACAGGTGGAAAGAAACACGCCCAATGTTTCTACTCTGGCTGGGAATCGAACCCAGGCCCTCGCCGGGTGAAGCGAGAGCTTTAACCACCAGGCCACCAGATTAAACCAAACTTAGGATAAACAAAACAGATTTTTTTCCAGCGGTGATCTCTTACCTCCCTGATGTACCTACAGTCTGTGCCAGCTGGAAACACTTGCTTCTCGAGCTTTACACCTCTGAAAGAAGAGACTTGCATTAATCACAGAGTTATAGTTCACTGTCTAAATAAATCTTACCACTATATCTTTCAGAATATGATTTCAGAATATGCAAAACAACCACTGTGAAAGAATAGAGAAATTCCAAGCGCTTTCCTGACTACTCATATTATCAAGGAACAACGATAATGTGAGTAGTCACGAAATTGCTTGGAATTTCTCTATTCTTTCACAGTGGTTGTTTTGAATATCTTTCATGAAGAATAAAATAGGTAGTAGGTTGGTAGACAGCAACCACCCAGGGAAGTACTACCGTCCTGCCAGATGACTGTGAAACAAAAACCTGTAACTGTTTTGCATGATGGTAGGATTGCTGGTTTCTTTTTCTGTCTCATAAACACGCTAAGATAACAGGGATATCTTGCTACTCCTACTTACACTTTGGTCACACTTCACAGACACGCACATGCATATATATATATACATACATCTAGGTTTTTCTCCTTTTTCTAAATAGCTCTTGTTCTTTTTTATTTCTTCTATTGTCCATGGGGAAGTGGAAAAGAATCTTTCCTCCGTAAGCCATGCGTGTCGTATGAGGCGACTAAAATGCCGGGAGCAATGGGCTAGTAACCCCTTCTCCTGTATTACAATTACTAAAAAAGAGAAGAAGAAAAACTTTATAAAACTGGGTTGCTTAAATGTGCGTGGATGTAGTGCGGATGACAAGAAACAGATGATTGCTGATGTTATGAATGAAAAGAAGTTGGATGTCCTGGCCCTAAGCGAAACAAAGCTGAAGGGGGTAGGAGAGTTTCAGTGGGGGGAAATAAATGGGATTAAATCTGGAGTATCTGAGAGAGTTAGAGCAAAGGAAGGGGTAGCAGTAATGTTAAATGATCAGTTTATGGAAGGAGAAAAAGAGAATATGAATGTGTAAATTCAAGAATTATGTGGATTAAAGTAAAGGTTGGATGCGAGAAGTGGGTCATAATAAGCGTGTATGCACCTGGAGAAGAGAGGAATGCAGAGGAGAGAGAGAGATTTTGGGAGATGTTAAGTGAATGTATAGGAGCCTTTGAACCAAGTGAGAGAGTAATTGTGGTAGGGGACTTGAATGCTAAAGTAGGAGAAACTTTTAGAGAGGGTGTGGTAGGTAAGTTTGGGGTGCCAGGTGTAAATGATAATGGGAGCCCTTTGATTGAACTTTGTATAGAAAGGGGTTTAGTTATAGGTAATACATATTTTAAGAAAAAGAGGATAAATAAGTATACACGATATGATGTAGGGCGAAATGACAGTAGTTTGTTTGGATTATGTATTGGTAGATAAAAGACTGTTGAGTAGACTTCAGGATGTACATGTTTATAGAGGGGCCACAGATATATCAGATCACTTTCTAGTTGTAGCTACACTGAAGTAAAAGGTAGATGGGATACAAGGAGAATAGAAGCATCAGGGAAGAGAGAGGTGAAGGTTTATAAACTAAAAGAGGAGGCAGTTAGGGTAAGATATAAACAGCTATTGGAGGATAGATGGGCTAATGAGAGCATAGGCAATGGGGTCGAAGAGGTATGGGGTAGGTTTAAAAATGTAGTGTTAGAGTGTTCAGCAGAAGTTTGTGGTTTACAGGAAAGTGGGTGCAGGAGGGAAGAGGAGCGATTGGTGGAATGATGATGTAAAGAGAGTAGTAAGGGAGAAAAAGTTAGCATATGAGAAGTTTTTACAAAGTAGAAGTGATGCAAGGAGGGAAGAGTATATGGAGAAAAAGAGAGAAGTTAAGAGAGTGGTGAAGCAATGTAAAAAGAGAGCAAATGAGAGAGTGGGTGAGATGTTATCAACAAATTTTGTTGAAAATAAGAAAAAGTTTTGGAGTGAGATTAACAAGTTAAGAAAGCCTAGAGAACAAATGGATTTGTCAGTTAAAAATAGGAGAGGAGAGTTATTAAATGGAGAGTTAGAGGTATTGGGAAGATGGAAGGAATATTTTGAGGAATTGTTAAATGTTGATGAAGATAGGGAAGCTGTGATTTCGTGTATAGGGCAAGGAGGAATAACATCTTGTAGGAGTGAGGAAGAGCCAGTTGTGAGTGTGGGGGAAGTTCGTGAGGCAGTAGGTAAAATGAAAGGGGGTAAGGCAGCTGGGATTGATGGGATAAAGATAGAAATGTTAAAAGCAGGTGGGGATATAGTTTTGGAGTGGTTGGTGCAATTATTTAATAAATGTATGGAAGAGGGTAAGGTACCTAGGGATTGGCAGAGAGCATGCATAGTTCCTTTGTATAAAGGCAAAGGGGATAAAAGAGAGTGCAAAAATTATAGGGGGATAAGTCTGTTGAGTGTACCTGGTAAAGTGTATGGTAGAGTTATAATTGAAAGAATTAAGAGTAAGACGGAGAATAGGATAGCAGATGAACAAGGAGGCTTTAGGAAAGGTAGGGGTGTGTGGACCAGGTGTTTACAGTGAAACATATAAGTGAACAGTATTTAGATAAGGCTAAAGAGGTCTTTGTGGCATTTATGGATTTGGAAAAGGCGTATGACAGGGTGGATAGGGGGGCAATGTGGCAGATGTTGCAAGTGTATGGTGTAGGAGGTAGGTTACTGAAAGCAGTGAAGAGTTTTTACGAGGATAGTGAGGCCCAAGTTAGAGTATGTAGGAAAGAGGGAAATTTTTTCCCAGTAAAAGTAGGCCTTAGACAAGGATGTGTGATGTCACCGTGGTTGTTTAATATATTTATAGATGGGGTTGTAAGAGAAGTAAATGCGAGGGTCTTGGCAAGAGGCGTGGAGTTAAAAGATAAAGAATCACACACAAAGTGGGAGTTGTCACAGCTGCTCTTTGCTGATGACACTGTGCTCTTGGAGATTCTGAAGAGAAGTTGCAGAGATTGGTGGATGAATTTGGTAGGGTGTGCAAAAGAAGAAAATTAAAGGTGAATACAGGAAAGAGTAAGGTTATGAGGATAACAAAAAGATTAGGTGATGAAAGATTGAATATCAGATTGGAGGGAGAGAGTATGGAGGAGGTGAACGTATTCAGATATTTGGGAGTGGACGTGTCAGCGGATGGGTCTATGAAAGATGAGGTGAATCATAGAATTGATGAGGGAAAAAGAGTGAGTGGTGCACTTAGGAGTCTGTGGAGACAAAGAACTTTGTCCTTGGAGGCAAAGAGGGGAATGTATGAGAGTATAGTTTTAACCAACGCTCTTATATGGGTGTGAAGCGTGGGTGATGAATGTTGCAGCGAGGAGAAGGCTGGAGGCAGTGGAGATGTCATGTCTGAGGGCAATGTGTGGTGTGAATATAATGCAGAGAATTCGTAGTTTTGGAAGTTAGGAGGAGGTGCGGGATTACCAAAACTGTTGTCCAGAGGGCTGAGGAAGGGTTGTTGAGGTGGTTCGGACATGTAGAGAGAATGGAGCGAAACAGAATGACTTCAAGAGTGTATCAGTCTGTAGTGGAAGGAAGGCGGGGTAGGGGTCGGCCTAGGAAAGGTTGGAGGGAGGGGGTAAAGGAGGTTTTGTGTGCGAGGGGCTTGGACTTCCAGCAGGCATGCGTGAGCGTGTTTGATAGGAGTGAATGGAGACAAATGGTTTTTAATACTTGACGTGCTGTTGGAGTGTGAGCAAAGTAACATTTATGAAGGGATTCAGGGAAACCGGCAGGCCGGACTTGAGTCCTGGAGATGGGAAGTACAGTGCCTGCACTCTGAAGGAGGGGTGTTAATGTTGCAGTTTAAAAACTGTAGTGTAAAGCACCCTTCTGGCAAGACAGTGATGGAGTGAATGATGGTGAAAGTTTTTCTTTTTCGGGCCACCCTGCCTTGGTGGGAATCGGCCGGTGTGATAATAAAAAAAAAAAAAAGAATAAAATGTTACAATACAGTGACTGGAAAGGTACACAAATTACTCACACATAGGAGAGTGAAACTTATGTTGAAGTTTTGGTTCTACGTGGATCATCAACTAGCAACTAGTCACTAATGACTAGCTAATGGTGCAAGTCAGACCAAAACATCGTCATAAATTTCATTCTCTTATGTGTGTGAGCAGGGTAATATTTAGTGAAGGGATTCAGGGAAACCGGTTATTTTTATATAGCCAGACTTGAGTCCTGGAAATAGGAAGTACAATGCCTGCAATTTAAAGGAGGGCTTTGGGATATTGGCAGTTTGGAGGGATATGTTGTGAATCTTTATACGTATATGCTTCTCAACTGTTGTATTCTGAGCAGCTCTGCAAAAACAGTGATTATGTGTGAGTGAGGTCAAAGTGTTGAATGATGATGAAAGTATTTTCTTTTTAGGGATTTTCTTTCTTTTTGGGTCACCCTGCCTCGGTGGGAGAGGAGACGGCCGACTTGTTGAAAAAAAAAATCCCTTATGACATTCCAGACTGTCAGGAGATCCTGGCCTGTACCTGCGCATTCTTGCTGGCTTCAGGGCACATAATACATGGTATAGAGCTAGGCCTGTATACTATGTACATGTACTTGTAGTAAATAAAGATGATTATTATTATTATTTTTTTTAACAAGTCGGCCGTCTCCCACCGAGGCAGGGTGACCCAAAAGAGAAAGAAAATCCCCCAAAAGAAAATACTTTCATCATCATTCAACACTTTCACCACACTCACACATAATCACTGTTTTTGCAGAGCTGCTCAGAATACAACAGTTGACAAGCATATACATATAAAGATACACAACATATCCCTCCAAACTGCCAATATCCCAAAGCCCTCCTTTAAATTGTAGGCATTGTACTTCCCATTTCCAGGACTCGAGTATGGCTATATAAAAATAACCAGTTTCCTTGAATCCCTTCACTAAATATTACCCTGCTCATACTACAACAGCTCGTCAGGTCCCAAATACCATTCGTCTCCATTCACTCCTATCTAACACGCTCACGCACGCTTTCTGGAAGTCCAAGCCCCTCGCCTGCAAAACCTCCTTTACCCCATCCCTCCAACCTTTTCGAGGACGACCCCTACCCCGCCTTCCTTCCCCTACAGATTTATACGCTCTCCATGTCATTCTACTTTGATTTTTTCTTTCTAAATGACCAAACCACCTCAACAACCCCTCTTCAGCCCTCTGACTAATACTTTTATTAACTCCACACCTTCTGCACATTGCCCTTAGACAGGACGTCTCCAACTGCCTCCTCGCTGCAGCATTTACAACCCAAGCTTCACACCCATATAAGAGTGTTGATACCACTATACCACAACTAAATAAATATTGAATAACTGTATTTCATAAAAGTGTAACCTGTGACCTTATCAAACTGTTTTTTTTAATTACATTACCTAATAGAATAATCCATTCTCTTGAATGCACAGTAACTCATCTAATGACCATTTGACCTGTTTCTGCACTACAAATAGTATATTGATATAGTATATTGATCATTTTGTTATATTATACATTGTTATGCTACAAATTTGTACAATTATAATGCCTCTTAATTGAAAGGTTCAAATTTCATTGTTTAAAATACTCATTTGTACTTCATGTTGTATTTTGTTTACTGTAATTTTTACCACTGAATATATTATTGCTTAGTTAACCCGTAAACGGTCCAAACGTATATATACGTTTTTTCAACATTTGAAAGTAGTATGTAAAAAAGTAGATTTTTTTTTTTTTCACATTTGAAAACGTGTAAAAAAAACTTTGATCTACTTTTTTTTTTTTTTGTTATATTTGAAAATATGTAAAAAAACGTAGATCTACTTTTGGAGCACTACGCATGTGAACGTAGATCTGCTTGGACAGTTTAAGGGTTGATCTTAAGTTAATTTTAAGCCTGCCCATAATGCTCTGCATACAAGGGGCTTTTGGTATGTACACCCAACTATAATTCCTTGTGCAACTATGTATCATGTCCAAATATTGTATTGTATTGTATTGTATACATTCCCTTCTCTGCCTCCACAGATAATGTTTTTTTGTCTTCACATATACCTCAATGCACCACTCACCTTTTTTCCTTCATCAATTCTATGATTAACCTCATCCTTCACAAGTCTATCCGCTGACACGTCAACTTCCAAATATCTGAAAACATTCACTTCTTCCATACTCCTCCTCTCCAATTTGATATCCAATTTTTCTTTATCTAAATCATTTGATACCCTCATCACCTTACTCTTTTCTATGTTCACTTTCAACTTTCTACCTTTACACACACTCCCAAACTCGTCCACTAACCTTTGCAATTGTTATTATTATATGCACAATTACTGTATTAGTCAACTTCCTCCCACTTTGGTCAAGGTTCCTTTTCTGGGCACTGGAAGGCTGGGCTCGATACGCCGTAAGCTATCAGTGGCCCTATAAACCTCAACAACAACTTCTCATGCCCTGAAAACTCCCTCTAAGACATAAGAATGTTTTCTAGAGATTTTCTTCTGGTCTCTTTAATTAATGCCTCTTACGTCTTAACACAACTCATTTTTTCTAGTGCTTTACCCACTACCTTTTTTCAAGGTTTCCTGCAAATAATTTTTCTTATTTAAGGCTAATTTTAAGTTAGGTTGGGGTAGGTTACACAAATTCAATAAAAATTATATGTATCACAGTGTTTTAGCAAACTTAGGCAATGTTACAATCAACATCACTGTAACTTATCACGATTGTGACCGGATATAAACATGTAAATAGTTCATTACCATTGTAACTTGTTCAGCTATCAAAGCTTTGTGGCCGAGCTCCTGGAGCCATTATGTACCTCTGTAATACTGAGGTACAGTCCCTGGACTCATTATGTACCTCTGTAATGTTGAGGAACAGTCCCTGGACCCATTATGTACCTCTGTAATATTGAGGAACAGTCCCTGGACCCATTATTACATACCTCTGTAATGTTGAGGTATAGTTCCCCGACCAATTATGTACATCTGTAATGTTAAGGTATAGTTCCCAGACCCATTATGTACCTTTGTAATGTTGAGGCAGTCTCTGGTCCCATTATATACCTCTGTAATCTTTTAACTACCACTCACAGAATGGGTATGGGGTGCATAATAAAGACATCAAACTAAACTTTAGTCTTTGTAAAATGAGAATGAGTGGTTGTGTGTGATGTTCTATGGGTCATGGTTGCATTATCGAAAGTGGAAGTCAGAGAAGTTAGCCAGCTGGCCCAGTGGTTAACGCACTGGCCTGGGGTCTTAGGACTCACTCGCCATGGGTTCCAACTCCACCTGTTCTTTTTTTTTTTTCTTTAGAAAGAAATAGTTTTCATAATCTGAATGGTGGAACACAACACCAAGTGTTACATACTCATCTTTACATGCTTGGGAGAAGGCATCCCACCATGGATTTTTGCCATCTTCTACACAGGTCAACAGGCTCTGCAAAGTAAATTTGTTATATTAATTCAATTCATTATATACTTATTTGAAATGTATGTAGAAATTGTAACAAATTGGCTAACTGTTTGTTTACAGATTTTATGAAAAGATTTACAAAAGCATGTAGTAATACTATAGTTACTGGCTGGAAAATATTAATTATGTATTATTATGAATTTATTGGATTGGATTTGTTTGGTATAGAAAAGTGTTAGTGTAGTTACATTTGGGAGATAAGGAGATTTTTAATTATAGCTATAAACTGATTGGCAGACAGATAAGATAAGATAAGATTTCGTTCGGATTTTTAACCCCGGAGGGTTAGCCACCCAGGATAACCCAAGAAAGTCAGTGCATCATCGAGGATTGTCTAACTTATTTCCATTGGGGTCCTTAATCTTGTCCCCCAGGATGCGACCCACACCAGTCGACTAACACCCAGGTACCTATTTGCTGCTAGGTGAACAGGACAATAGGTGTAAGGAAACGTGTCGAAATGTTTCCACCCGCCGGGAATCAAACCCGGGCCCTCCGTGTGTGAAGCGGGAGCTTTAGCCACCAGGCCACCGGGCCACCTTTTGCTAGTTTGGACAATGAATTCCATCAAGGATGTACTAGAGATGCTCAGAGAGGACATAAAACAGAAGACAGTGTCTTTGGAAGCAAGAATCCTGATGCACGCCATGAACATCTGGATACTGGGATAAATGTGTCATTCTGGATCAAAGTTCTTCAACGACTTAACACCATTAAATTAATTCTTCAAGATTCTACACTCAACTTAACATGACCATTTCCTTGTCGATGGCCTATTCTAGTTAAACACACTGCAGTGTTTGATATTTCATTCTTCGAAGAGAAGAGAGAAATGGTAGAAGCAAAAACGAAACAAGACATGCCAGAACCGAAAAAAACGTTATTTTCTAGCCGATTCTTGTATTCTCATCCTGAACAAATTCGCAACAGCTCTCAGTAACCTGTGAGCTGCATATTTATTTATCAGTGAGAAGTCTGGCTTACTATGGCAGCTCGCAATGCTAATGATGCAAGAAACTGATGATAAATTAGACATGTGCATCACTTGGGTATCTTTACTGAGGAAACATTTCACCACACAGTGGCCTCATCAGTCCAGTACAAAGAATGGTGAAGATCAGAAGGAGTTTGAGGTAATCAGTCCCCCAGCCTGGAGTCGATGTAATCAGTCCATTAATCTTGATGGACTATGTGGGAGAATTATAGCCAATAAAGGATCACATTATAATGCATTTGTCTATTTTTCCATCGTGTGTCATACCATTTACAGAAATAATGTTTGCTTCTTTATTTGCTAGTGACATAGCTCCAGTGGTGATCATTTGGCTCACAACCAAAAGGACCCAAGTTTGATCCCCAGGGAAGCAAGATCATCTTCTTTCAATGAATTGGCTGTATCCCACCGAGGTGGGGTGGCCCAAAAAAAAAAACAAGTTTCTCCTTGAGTAATGTATACAGAAGAAAGGGTTACTAGCCCCTTGCTCCCAGCATTTTAGTCGCCTCTTACGACACGCGTAGCTTACAGAGGAAGAATTTTGTTCCACTTCCCTATGGAGACAAGAGGGAATAAACAAAAACATGAACAAGCAAGAAAATAGAAGAAAACCCAGAGAAGTGTGTATATATTTGCTTGTAAATGCATGTGTAGTGTGAGCTAAGTGTAAGTAGAAGTAGCAAAACATACCTGAAATCTTGCATGTTTATGAGACAGAAAAAAACACCAGCAATCTTACCATCATGTAAATCAATTACAGGCTTCCGTTTTACACTCACTCGCAGGACGGTATTACCTCCCTGGGTGGTTGCTGTCTACCAACATACTATCTAGGGAAAGCAAGATTTCTTTTTTTTTCAACATACCAGCCATATCCCACCAAGGCAGGGTGGCCCAAAAAGAAAAACGAAAGTTTCTCTTTTTAAATTTAGTAATTTATACAAGAGAAGGGGTTACTAGCCCCTTGCCCCCGGCATTTTAGTTGCCTCTTACAACACGTATGGCTTACGGAGGAAGAATTCTGTTCCACTTCCCCATGCAGATAAGAGGAAATAAACAAGAACAAGAATTAGAAAGAAAATACCAGAGTCTTGGCCCATTTTAGGGAGGTTTTAAAGAGACGCCAGAAACAGAGCTCTCTCGACACTTTTTTTGCTAGACAGGACTCCAGTGACTCTCAAGCTGGTCCTAGCAGCATTAAGAAACAGAGAAGAGAAGTAACCCCAGAAAAGGACTTGGTACCTAAGGTGTTGATGGAAGGGGATTCCCCTTCCAAACAGTAATTCAGTCTCTCTCCTCCTCCAGTCTTCCATACACTAAGAAGAATCGCCAATAAAAGTGAGTGTTATGCTGTTAATGTTTCATTCACAATGTCCCATTGTATTGTTTATGTACTACATCTATATTTCATGTGAAAAATTTTTTTGTTTTAATACTTCTGGGTGTCAAGAATGGATTAATTGTATTTATATTATTTCTTATGGGGAAAATCGATTCGAAAATCGTCTTTTTCGATAATCGTCGCACTTCCAGGAACGGATTAATGACGATAAACGAGGGACCACTGTACAAGCATATACATATATACACACCCCTCTGTTTTTTTTTTTTTTTTTTTTTTTTTTTTTTTTTTTTTTTTCACATGGTTTGACAAGGTTAAGGATCCCTAGCTTTATTGACAAGCTATTTACAGGTTAAGGATTCCTAACTTTATTGACAAGCTAAGAGCTGTTACCTACATCAGCTCATTTGAAAGCATTTTTATTGTTATGAGACATACAAGTAGGGAACAGGATGAAGTTGGGCCCACAGATGGCTCCAACTTCATCCTGTTCCCTACTTGTATGTCTCATAACAATAAAAATGCTTTCAAATGAGCTGATGTAGGTAACAGCTCTTAGCTTGTCAATAAAGTTAGGAATCCTTAACCTGTAAATAGCTTGTCAATAAAGCTAGGGATCCTTAACCTTGTCAAACCATGTGTAAAAAAAAAAAAAAAAAAAAAAAAAAAAAAAAAAAAAAAAAAAAACCCAGAGGGGTGTGTATATATGTATATGCTTGTACAGTGGTCCCTCGTTTATCGTCATTAATCCGTTCCTGGAAGTGCGACGATTATCGAAAAAGACGATTTTCGAATCGATTTTCCCCATAAGAAATAATATAAATACAATTAATCCATTCTTGACACCCAGAAGTATTAAAACAAAAAAATTTTTCACATGAAATATAGATGTAGTACATAAACAATACAATGGGACATTGTGAATGAAACATTAACAGCATAACACTCACTTTTATTGGCGATTCTTCTTAGTGTATGGAAGACTGGAGGAGGAGAGAGACTGAATTACTGTTTGGAAGGGGAATCCCCTTCCATCAACACCTTAGGTACCAAGTCCTTTTCTGGGGTTACTTCTCTTCTCTGTTTCTTAATGCTGCTAGGACCAGCTTGAGAGTCACTGGAGTCCTGTCTAGCAAAAAAAGTGTCGAGAGAGCTCTGTTTCTGGCGTCTCTTTAAAACCTCCCTAAAATGGGCCAAGACTCTGTCACTGTACAAGTTGCCGATATAGCTTGCAACATCCTTCTCAGGGTGATGTTTCTCCATAAATCTTTCCATCCTACCCCACATTTCAAAAATCTCCTTAATTTCTGAAGAAGGAACCTTCTTCCATCTCTCTTCCTCCTCCTTCCTCCTTCTTGTTTATCCACACCAATAATAACTTCTCAACATCTTCAAGTACTGGTGATCTCATTTTTATCAGCATATTTACCCCCTTTGCAACAACAGCTTCCTTGATTTCCTTTTTCTTGGCCACGATGGAAGATATGGTTGTACGGGATTTGTTATACATCCTGGCCAGTTCGGCCACACGTACGCCACTTTCATATTGTTCAATGATGTTTTTCTTAAATTCAATCATATTTCTCACCTTCTTTACCAAAGGCTTGGCACTAGGAGCTTTCTTTGGAGCCATGGTAGCTTATTTAGCACTTGCAAGCACTAAAATGAATGGAATATTATGAAATATTTCGTATGAACACACGAGAGGACTGTCGCTCACTGGTAAACAATGGCACACTGGCTGGGAAGGGAGGCTGAGGCGGCTCAGAGCTGTGAGTACGCGTCCAGGACGAACGACGATTAGGGAGTCAACCGACCATTTGCGAGCCAATGTTTGGACTAAAATAACACGACGATTTCCGAAAAGGACGACTATCGAGCCCGACTATTATCGAGGGACCACTGTATATGTATGTGTAGTGTGACCTAAGCGTAAGTAGAAGTAGCAAGACGTACCTGAAATCTTGCATGCTTATGAAACAGAAAAAGACACCAGCAATCCTACCATCATGTAAAACAATTACAGGCTTCCGTTTTACACTCACTTGCAGGACGGTATTACCTCCCTGGGTGGTTGCTGTCTACCAACATACTACCTAGGGAAAGCCAGATATATGAGGAAAATTTTTATGTAACATACAAATACACTTAGGACAATACTCAGCATGTTCAAATATATGGATGCATAAATTTCTGGCACAGCCACATATACATAGATGCAACACTGTCATGTATAACACTGCCAGATTAATAAAGACTTCAAAAAGTAGAAGAGATTTCTTTAGGGTTTGTTGCTAACTTTCACAAGAATCTCTTCACCTTCTCTGACAAAAGTTCTCCTGAATTGTGAATTCTTGCAATTTTTTCTTCATTTCTACCCAAAATGACTCAGCATGATAGTGGCTTTCTTTGCACTTACAAACTAATAGTGTAATAAATACACTGTAAACTATGCATGGAAATAGACTCCTTATATTATGTCAGTCGCACATTGCAAACTTTGCAAAGAAACAAAAATTTGAATTTTGAATTTGAAGTACAAGATACAAATTATACGGTCATAGCGACATGAATAACATACTATATAGAAAATGTTAAAAGCAGGTGGGGATATAGTTTTGGAGTGGTTGGTGCAATTATTTAATAAATGTATGGAAGAGGGTAAGGTACCTAGGGATTGGCAGAGAGCATGCATAGTTCCTTTGTATAAAGGCAAAGGGGACAAAAGAGAGTGCAAAAATTATAGGGGGATAAGTCTGTTGAGTATACCTGGTAAAGTGTATGGTAGAGTTATTATTGAAAGAATTAAAAGTAAGACTGAGAATAGGATAGCAGATGAACAAGGAGGCTTTAGGAAAGGTAGGGGGTGTGTGGACCAGGTGTTTACAGTGAAACATATAAGTGAATATTTAGATAAGGCTAAAGAGGTCTTTGAGGCATTTATGGATTGGAAAAGGCATATGACAGGGTGGATAGGGGGGCAATGTGGCAGATGTTGCAGGTGTATGGTGTAGGAGGTAGGTTACTGAAAGCAGTGAAGAGTTTTTACGAGGATAGTGAGGCTCAAGTTAGAGTACATAGGAAAGAGGGAAATTATTTCCCAGTAAAAGTAGGCCTTAGACAAGGATGTGTGATGTCACCGTGGTTGTTTAATATATTTATAGATGGGGTTGTAAGAGAAGTAAATGCGAGGGTCTTGACAAGAGGCATGGAGTTAAAAGATAAAGAATCACACATAACGTGGGAGTAGTCACAGTTGCTCTTTGCTGATGACACTGTGCTCTTGGGAGATTCTGAAGAGAAGTTGCAGAGGCTGGTGGATGAATTTGGTAGGGTGTGTAAAAGAAGAAAATTGAAAGTGAATACAGGAAAGAGGAAGGTTATGAGGATAACAAAAAGATTAGGTGATGAAAGATTGGATATCAGATTGGAGGGAGAGAGTATGGAGGAGGTGAATGTATTCAGATATTTGGGAGTGGATGTGTCAGCGGATGGGTCTATGAAGGATGAGGTGAATCATAGAATTGATGAGGGGAAAAGGGTGAGTGGTGCACTTAGGAGTCTGTGGAGACAAAGAACTTTGTCCTTGGAGGCAAAGAGGGGAATGTATGAGAGTATAGTAGTTTTACCAACACTCTTATATGGGTGTGAAGCATGGGTGATGAATGTTGCAGCAAGGAGAAGGCTGGAGGCAGTGGAGATGTCATGTCTGAGGGCAATGTGTGGTGTGAATATAATGCAGAGAATTCGTAGTTTGGAAGTTAGGAGGAGGTGCGGGATTACCAAAACTGTTGTCCAGAGGGCTGAGGAAGGGTTGTTGAGGTGGTTCGGACATGTAGAGAGAATGGAGCGAAACAGAATGACTTCAAGAGTGTATCAGTCTGTAGTGGAAGGAAGGCGGGGTAGGGGTCGGCCTAGGAAAGGTTGGAGGGAGGGGGTAAAGGAGGTTTTGTGTGCGAGAGACTTGGACTTCCAGCAGGTGTGCATGAGCGTGTTTGATAGGAGTGAATGGAGACGAATGGTTTTTAATACTTTACGTGCTGTTGGAGTGTGAGCAAAGTAACATTTATGAAGGGGTTCAGGGAAACCGGCAGGCCGGACTTGAGTCCTGGAGATGGGAAGTACAGTGCCTGCACTCTGAAGGAGGGGTGTTAATGTTGCAGTTTAAAAACTGTAGTGTAAAGCACCCTTCTGGCAAGACAGTGATGGAGTGAATGATGGTGAAAGTTTTTCTTTTTCGGGCCACCCTGCCTTGGTGGGAATCGGCCAGTGTGATAATAAATAAATAATAAGAAAATAGAAAATCCCTGGTTATGCAGAGTATTTCCGACAAATTTAGGTTAATTTTGTCCTAGGATGCGATCCACACCAGTCGACTAACACCCAGGTACGTACCTGCTGCTAAGTGAACAGGGCAGGAGGTGTCTTAAGGAAACACACCCCAATGCTTTGACCCATATTGGGGATCAAACCACAGTTCTCACTGTGTGAGTTGAGTGCTCTAGCAACTGAGCTCTGGGACACTATGAAAAAATATACACCTCAGTGAAGGGAAACTGCATGACTTACCTGTGTCAATGTCTGTGTAGAATCTTCCAATAAAGGAAACTCATACTCAACATCATCTCCTGCTGATTTACACCACATCTTTATCTTTTCTTCAAATTTTCTCACATCTTCAGTGGGGGCAAGGCGAATATCAAAGTAAATGCTCAGCTCTGCAGGCACCACATTAACCTGTACACCTCCCTGAAAAAAATACTTATGATTCACAGCTGAATCTATATAGTTTAGAAAGCACTACAATATCCATGGAACTACATGTCTCATAAAATAAGATTTTGTTTGGATTTTTAACTCTAAAGCCAGCAACAAACAACAAAATACCTTTCATCCGTGGACTGCTTGCAGAGGCAAAGGCAATGTTCGCGGCTTTCACTGAGACCCACATAAAGGATCACTTGGACAACGAAATATGGATCCCAGGTTACAACCTATACAGATGTGACAGAGTGAACAGGCAAAAGGGGGGGGGGGGTTTGGCCTGTACATTGCAGAGTCACTTGTTTGCACAGAACTGCTTAATGCCTCAAATGATGTAGTGCAAGTTTTAGCAGTAAAGGTCGAGAACCAAAACCTAGTCATTGTGGTAGTCTACAAGCCTCCGGATGCAACATCCCAGCAATTCCAGGAACAGCTGTTAAAAATTGACCACTGTCTGGAAAATCTTCCAGCTCCTGCACCCAACATCTTGCTCCTGGGGGATTTCAACTTAAGGCACCTAAAATGGAGGAATATAGCAAATAATATTGTTGCAGTAATAACACCAGGAGGCAGCTCTGATGAAAACTCACACTCACACGAGCTTTTAAATCTCTGCACAAAATTCAATTTAAACCAGCAAATAATAGAGCCTACTAGACTGGAGAATACACTAGACCTCATATTCACTAACAATGATGATCTGATAAGAAATGTCACCATATCAAAAACAATATACTCAGATCACAACATAATTGAAGTTCAGACATGTATGCGTGGAGCCCCAGACCGACATAATGAGACTAGTCACGAGGGAGCATTCACCAAATTCAACTTCAATAACAAAAACATAAAGTGGGACCAAGTAAACCAAGTCCTAACCGATATAAGCTGGGAAGATATACTAAGCAACACAGACCCCAACTTATGCCTAGAACAGATTAACTCGGTGGCACTCGATGTATGCACAAGGCTTATTCCTCTAAGAAAAAGGAGTAGATGTAAAATAGAAAGAGACAGGCGCTCCCTTTACAGGCGACGGAAAAGAATAATAGAGCGGCTAAAAGAGGTCAATATATCAAATGCGTAGGGAGACACTGGTCAGAGAAATAGCAAGCATCGAACTTAAGCTAAAAGAATCCTTTAGGAGTCAGGAATCGCGGGAAGAACTAAAAGCCATAAATGAAATCGAAAGAAACCCAAAGTATTTCTTCTCCTATGCCAAATCAAAATCGAGAACAACGTCCAGTATTGGGCCCCTACTTAAACAAGTTGGGTCCTACACAGATGACAGCAAGGAAATGAGTGAGCTACTCAAGTCCCAATATGACTCAGTTTTTAGCAAGCCGCTAACCAGACTGAGAGTCGAAGATCAAAATTAATTTTTTATGAGAGAGCCACAAAATTTGATTAACACAAGCCTATCCGATGTTATCCTGACGCCAAATGACTTCGAACAGGCGATAAATGACATGCCCATGCACTCTTGGCCCCAGGCCAGACTCATGGAACTCTGTGTTCATCAAGAACTGCAAGAAGCCCCTATCACGAGCCTTTTCCATCCTATGGGAGGGGCATGGACACGGGGGTCGTCCCACAGTTACTAAAAACAACAGACATAGCCCCACTCCACAAAGGGGGCAGTAAAGCAACAGCAAAGAACTACAGACCAATAGCACTAACATCCCAAATCATAAAAATCTTTGAAAGGGTCCTAAGAAGCAAGATCACCACGCATCAAAACCCATCAGTTACACAACCCGGGCAACAGGGGTTTAGAACAGGTCGCTCCTGTCTGTCTCAACTATTGGATCACTACGACAAGGTCCTAAATGCACTAGAAGACAAAAAGAATGCAGATGTAATATAACAGACTTTGCAAAAGCCTTCGCCCAAGGTGACCATGGCGTATAGCGCACAAAATGCGTGCTAAAGGAATAACGGAAAAGTCGGTCGATGGATCTATAATTTCCTCACAAAACAGAACACAGAGAGTAGTCGTAAACAGAGTAAAGTCCGAGGCAGCTACGGTAAAAGCTCTGTTCCACAAGGCACAGTACTCGCTCCCATCTTGTTCCTCATCCTCATATCCGACATAGACAAGGATGTCAGCCACAGCACCGTGTCTTCCTTTGCAGATGACACCCGAATCTGCATGACAGTGCCCTTCCATTGCAGACACTGCAAGGCTCCAGGCAGCCCTAAACCCAAAATCTTTCAGTCGGCTGCAGAAAACAATATGAAGTCAACGATGAGAAATTTCATTACTCAGAAAATGGTAAACATGAGGAAATTAAATCTTCATCAGAGTACGAAACAAATTCTGGCCACAAAATAGAGCGAAACACCAACATCAAAGACCTGGGAGAGATCATGTCGAGGATCTCACCTTCAAGGACCATAACATTGTATCAATCGCATCTGCTAGAAAAATGACAGGATGGATAATGAGAACCTTCAAAACTAGGGAGGCCAAGCCCATGATGACCCCTCTTCAGGTCACTTTTTTCTATCTAGGCTGGAATATTGCTGCACACTAACAGCACCTTTCAAGGCAGGTGAAATTGCCGACCTAGAAAATGTACAGAGAACTTTAAACGGCGCGCATAACGGAGATAAAACCCTCAATTACTGGGAGCGCTTGGGGTTCCTAAACCTGTAATTCCCTGGAATGCAGGAGGAGAGATACATGATTATATACACCTGGAAAATCCTAGGGGGACTAGTACCGAACTTGCACACGAAAATCACTCACTACAAAAGCAAAAGACTGGCAGACGATGCACCATCCCCCCAATGAAAAGCAGGGGTGTCACTAGCACGTTAAGAGACCATACAATAAGTGTCAGGGGCCCAAGACTGTTCAACTGCCTCCCAGCACACATAAGGGGGATTACCAACAGACCCCTGGCAGTCTTCAAGCTGGCACTGGACAAGCACCTAAAGTCAGTTCCTGATCAGCCGGGCTGTGGCTCGTACGTTGGTTTGCGTGCAGCCAGCAGCAACAGCCTGGTTGATCAGGCTCTGATCCACCAGGAGGCCAGGTCACAGACCGGGCCGCGGGGGTGTTGGTCCCCGGAACTCTCTCCAGGTAAACTCCAGGTTAGCCATCCAGGATAACCCAAGAAAGTTAGTGCGTCATCGAGGACTGTCTTATTTCCATTGTGGTCCTTAAATCTTGTTCCCCAGGATGCTACCCACACCAATCCATTAACACCCAGGTACCTACTTGCTTGCTAGGTGAACAGGGACAACAGGTTTAAGGAAACAAGCCCAATGTTTCCACCCTTGCTGAGGACTGAACCATTGACACTCAGAGTGTGAAGCAATAGCATTGCCTACCAGGCCACGACACCTTTATGAGTCAGAGTGCCACGTGAATGTACAAATAATGATAATAAAATGTCCAGAGAAAATGATGTTTCTTGATTGGACTAAGTATAATCAGAATGTTAAGAAATACATTCCGATTACTCCGGTGCATCTTTCTTGTTATACAAGATTTTTACCGACACAAGGTTTAACAGATCTATCATCACTCAGGATTTGAACAAGCTTTTTTAAGTCTGAGAGTTTAGGTGTTGTTAAGAGGCAGACATCTTGAGCAATCAGAAACATGACTGGGAAATGCATGGAACTATTAGAAGTGATTGACAAAATTATCAAAGGGTAGTTAGTTACCTAGAAGTCTAACTCACTCATGTGATGTGCATGTCCACATGTAACCACAGTTCAATTCTCTGTTTCCCTAAATACTGCTGGCCAGCAATTACAGAGAAAAATAGTAGACTCTTTTACTATGGGGCCTGGTGAGAGACAAATATCCACAGTACGTTGGGAAGCCTCTGAGATCCTCTGTCTCCAGAGGAGTATTTTGAAGACAGCGTGGGTCACTGACCAGGGAAATCAGTTGTTGTTGGTCCCTTGCTGTTCAAACCAGAATGCTTCTGCATTCAGCCTCGAACTCGACCTGCTTGTACGAGATGCTAGTTATCACAATTTACCTAATCTCATTACTTAATACAACCTAATGTTAAAGTCTAAGGCTGTAATATTAATCCTAATATTATTTGCTAACAATTTAAACCTACCTGGGACTTAAGATGTAAATCTATCAATTTGTATATCAATCTTCAGCAGTTGTCTAGTCTCTTGTTTGGGTGTAAGGATGTGCAAGAACTCATTTAAAATTAAGTCCTTTATAAAATTTTCTCTTATACGTTTAAAAATATATTTTTTCATTTATGTTAATGTAAAAATTAAATATCTAAAATATATTTAGTGCATGAGTGTGTTCGATAGGAGTGAATGGAGACGAATCTTATTTGGGACCTGACGATCTGTTGGAGTGTGAGCAGGGTAATATTTAGTGAAGGGATTCAGGGAAACCGGTTATTTTTTTAATAGCCGGACTTGAGTCCTGGAAATGGGAAGTACAATGCCTGCACTCTAAAGGAGGGGTTTCGGGATATTAGCAGTTTGGAGGGATATGTTGTGTATCTTTATACGTACATGCTTCTAAACTGTTGTGTTCTGAGCACCTCTGCAAAAACAGTGATTATGTGTGAGTGAGGTGAAAGTGTTTAAAGTTAATGAAAGTATTTTCTTTTTGGGGATTTTCTTTCTTTTTGGGTCACCCTGCCTCGGTGGGAGATGGCCGACTTGTTGAAAAAAAAAAAATTTAGTTTGATTAGGCTAAATTAAATTTTTTTTTTTTTTTTCAACAAGTCGGCCATCTCCCACCGAGGCAGGGTGACCCAAAAAAGAAAGAAAATCCCCAAAAAGAAAATACTTTCATCATCATTCAACACTTTCACCACACTCGCACATTATCACTGTTTTTGCAGAGGTGCTAAGAATACAACAGTCTAGAACATTGGTTCCCAAACTGGGGGTAAATTACCCCCTGGGGGTAATTTAACCATTTTTGGGGGGTAATGGAGGGGTGACAGAAAAAAAGTTATGAATTCTGAAAAACAAGAAAACAATGCGGTACCCGGTATGAGGATTATTGTTAACTTTATCTTAGTATATAAAGTTGTAAAGTAAACCTATTATAAGTAAGTAATAAAGTTAAACCAAATAACAATAAACATCAAAAACTAATATACAGTATTAGAAAAGAAGAAATATATAGCTAAGTGTGTGGAAACCCAAAAGTATTTTGACAAGTATGCTTCAGGACAAAAGTCACTCAGTAGCCCAGATCGACCTGTCCAGTACGCGTCTCTCACTTACTGAGGCTGCCTCTATTTCACTGTCAGTTTATCTGTGAGCATCAGCCGAGGTAGACATAAGCTGGTATGTATGTGTACTGCCCTGTGCAGTATCTAGTTAGTATTTACCCACTGTTACTGTGAATTTCTAGCTATTATTAATTTTATACATAATGTATGTGTGGTTCTTACGTTTTCAATGGTTTTGCTAGGATTAGCAGAGTATGCGAGGCTGTATACGTTCACGTTTAGCCATATATATCAATAATAACAACATTTTGTGAAAGGGGTAACATGCTTTATGTGACATGTTAAATTGGGTAACAAGCTGAAAAAGTTTGGGAACCACTGGTCTAGAAGCATACACATATAAAGATACACAACATATCCCTCCAAACTGCCAATATCCCAAACCCCTCCTTTAAAGTGCAGGCATTGTACTTCCCATTTCCAGGACTCAAGTCCGACTATATGAAAATAACCGGATTACCTGAATCCCTTCACTAAATATTACCCTGCTCACACTCCAACAGATCGTCAGGTCCCAAGTACCATTCGTCTCCATTCACTCCTATCTAACACGCTCACGCACGCTTGCTGGAAGTCCAAGCCCCTTACCCACAAAACCTCCTTTACCCCCTCCCTCCAACCCTTTCGAGGACGACCCCTACCCCGCCTTCCTTCCCCTATAGATTTATATGCTTTCCATGTCATTCTACTTTGATCCATTCTCTCTAAATGACCAAACCACCTCAACAACCCCTCTTCTGCCCTCTGACTAATACTTTTATTAACTCCACACCTTCTCCTAATTTCCTCACTCCGAATTTTCTGCATAATATTTACACCACACATTGCCCTTAAACAGGACATCTCCACTGCCTCCAACTGTCTCCTCGCTGCTGCATTTACCACCCAAGCTTCACACCCATATAAGAGTGTTGGTACTACTATACTTTCATACATTCCCTTCTTTGCCTCCATAGATAACGTTTTTGACTCCACATATACCTCAACGCACCACTCACCTTTTTCCCTCATCAATTCTATGATTAACCTCATCCTTCATAAATCCATCCGCCGACACGTCAACCCCCAATATCTGAAAACATTCACTTCTTCCATACTCCTCCTCCCCAATTTGATATCCAATTTTTCTTTATCTAAATCATTTGACACCCTCATCACCTTACTCTTTTCTATGTTCACTTTCAACTTTCTACCTTTACACACATTCCCAAACTCATCCACTAACCTTTGCAATTTTCTTTAGAATCTCCCATAAGCACAGTATCATCAGCAAAAAGTAACTGTGTCAATTCCCATTTTGAATTTGATTCCCCATAATTTAATCCCACCCCTCTCCCAAACACCCTAGCATTTACTTCCTTTACAACCCCATCTATAAATATATTAAACAACCATGGTGACATTACACATCCCTGTCTAAGACCTACTTTTACCGGGAAGTAGTCTCCCTCTCTTCTACACACCCTAACCTGAGCCTCACTATCCTCATAAAAACTCTTTACAGCATTTAATAACTTACCACCTATTCCATATACTTGCAACATCTGCCACATTGCTCCTCTATCCACTCTATCATATGCCTTTTCTAAATCCATAAATGCAATAAAAACTTCCCTATCTTTATCTAAATACTGTTCACATATATGCTTCAATGTAAACACCTGATCTACACATCCCCTACCCACTCTAAAACCTCCTTGCTCATCCGCAATCCTACATTCTGTCTTACCTCTAATTCTTTCAATTATAACCCTACCGTACACTTTTCCTGGTATACTCAGTAAGCTTATTCCTCTATAATTTTTACAGTCTCTTTTGTCCCCTTTCCCTTTATATAAAGGGACTATACATGCTCTCTGCCAATCCCTAGGTACCTTCCCCTCTTTCATACATTTATTAAACAAAAGTACCAACCACTCCAACACTATATCCCCCCCTGCTTTTAACATTTCTGTCATGATCCCATCAGTTCCAGCTGCTTTACCCCCTTTCATTTTACGTAATGCCTCACGTACCTCCCCCACACTTACATTCTGCTCTTCTTCACTCCTAAAAGATGGTATACCTCACTGACCAGTGCATGAAATTACTGCCTCTGTTTCTTCCTTAACATTTAAAAGTTCCTCAAAATATTCTCGCCATCTACCCAATACCTCCATCTCCCCATCTACTAACTCCCCTACTCTGTTTTAACTGACAAATCCATATTTTCCCTAGGCTTTCTTAACTTGTTTAACTCACTCCAAAATTTTTTCTTATTTTCATTAAAATTTCTTGACAGTGCCTCTCCCACTCTATCATCTGCTCTCCTTTTGCACTCTCTCACCACTCTCTTTACCTTTCTTTTACTCTCCATATACTCTGCTCTTCTTATAACACTTCTGCTTTGTAAAAACCTCTCATAAGCTACCTTTTTCTCTTTATCACACCCTTTACTTTATCATTCCACCAATCACTCCTCTTTCCTCCTGCCCCCACCCTCCTATAACCACAAACTTCTGCCCCACATTCTAATACTGCATTTTTAAAACTATTCCAACCCTCTTCAACCCCCCCACTACTCATCTTTGCACTAGCCCACCTTTCTGCCAATAGTCGCTTATATCTCACCCGAACTTCCTCCTCCCTTAGTTTATACACTTTCACCTCTCTCTTACTTGTTGTTGCCACCTTCCTCTTTTCCCATCTACCTCTTACTCTAACTGTAGCTACAACTAAATAATGATCCGATATATCAGTTGCCCCTCTATAAACATGTACATCCTGGAGCCTACCCATCAACCTTTTATCCACCAATACATAATCTAATAAACTACTTTCATTACGTGCTACATCATACCTTGTATATTTATTTATCCTCTTTTTCATAAAATATGTATTACTTATTACCAAATTTCTTTCTACACATAGCTCAATTAAAGGCTCCCCATTTACATTTACCCCTGGCACCCCAAATTTACCTACTACTCCTTCCATAACATTTTTACCCACTAATTAATTTTTATATCACCATAAATGAAAAAATATATCTTTAAATGTATAAGAGAAAATTTTAGAAAAGACTTAATTTTAAACGAGTTCTTACTAATTGACCAGTTTTACCTATTCAACACATACACACACACACACACATAAATTTATTTACCTGTAAACTACATTACATGTACCTGTATAATGTAGAAAAGAAATAAATTTATTATTAATACTGTTATTATTATTACTTTCAGCATGGTGAGGTTGACCGTAGTGACATCTCCGAGACGCAGCTCCTCGTTATCCCTCAGTAGAAGTTTCTGTTCATCTCGATAACTCAGGAAGGAATTGATTACCTTCTGCAGTTTTTCTCCTGCAGTGTTAGTCAGGAACTGTGATCCATGGCCAGGGTTCCCCGGACACTTCACCTTGGTCCCTGGAATTGTTAATTTAACCCTTAAACTGTCCAAACATAGATATACGTTTGCTCGCGTAGCGCTCCAAACGTAGATCTACTTTTTTTACATTGTTTCTTATGGAGAAAATCAAGGTCAGAGCGCTACGCGCGGAAACGTATATCTACGTTTGGACAGTTTAAAGGTTAACTAAATGAATCATCAGTAAGTTTAACGGGTTAAAGTCAAAGGCATCAAGTCAGTGGTGCAGTAAAAAAAAAATATTGCCTTTTATATAAAATAGTATAAACAAAGAAAATGTTACTGATTATACTATAAAGATATTTCTGCAAGAAATCATGAGGTTTATTATTCACATTATTAAATACAAAACTGTAATAAAATTTTTTTTTTTTTTTAACAAGTCAGCCGTCTCCCACTGAGGCAGGGTGACCCAAAAAGAAAGAAAATCCCCAAAAACAAAATACTTTCATCATCATTCAACACTGTCACCTCACTCACACATAATCACTGTTTGTTTTCCAGAATTAAAAATTGTAAAAATTGCTCTAATATTTAGAGAATTACCTGGAGAGAGACCCCCAGAACTCTCTCCAGGTAATTCTCTAAATATTAGAGCAATTTTTACAATTTTTAATTCTGGAAAACTTTTTTTTTTTGCAGATGTCTGAGATGCTTTATAATTCACAGTTAGTTGAGTAGGAATATAAAATAACAAGTAAAAATATAATGCATGTTGCTAATACTGCAGAGGTGATGGAAGGGAAGTGTACTTTATTATCAATATTTGATCCAGTACACAACTGCATGGCTCGGAGCCAGGGAAAAAATTAACAGAAAAAAGTCACAGGGAAAAAAAAAGTCACAAAAGAAAGTTCTTCAATGTTGTGGGTCACAGGGGCATTGACCCCCTCCAGGTATACTACCATCCCTCAGTCTGGCAAGTCACTGAATGGTCTCAGCTTGAAGAAGCTATGGCGAGCATCATTATTCATGACAACGCACCTAACTTAACCTGGAGAATCACAAAAATATAAACGAGTTTCTTGGTGGCGTTAGTTTAATATCTTTATTGCTCACCCCATACCCATCCTGTGGGCGTCGGCTGCTATATTCGTCTTAGTCCTGAACATCAAAAATACTAAATATACATATAATGTCACATTATTATGCAAGATGTTTTCAATCTCTATGTCAAGTATTGTCAATAAATGACTGACTTAAATGATTTTGTTTCATTGCCTTAACTTTAAATGTGATTTTTTGTATATGTGTGTAATGACATCATATATGAATTGTGTTGTCAAAGTGTACAAGTAATGTACTGTCAGTTAATAACTAATTTAAATATTTTTTTAGTATTTTAATTGTTTATGGTGTTTAAATAAGGTATGACTTTTTTTCCAGTGTCTTTTTCCTAGCCAAAATTGTGACTCATTTTCTGTGACTTTTCTTCCAGACACCGATGGCTCCTCCCTCAACCTATGACCCTAGTAGGTTTAGCACTTTGTTTTGATGATAATAATAATACTCCCTCAACTCTGGTACATGTTAACACAATTATATTCTGACAGACATTAAAATGTAAAACTAGTTGATTCAGTTTGCCAATATGTGTACGAGTTAAAAATATTTTTCTATGCAGCTTTTCAGTTTAAAATACTACTAATAAATACATATATGAACTTGAAAATATAAGAATACTAATTGTACTATTTAAAGAAAATCTCTGTTTTCTATTTCCTTCCAATAGTGTGGCTATCTCATGAAAAGATAATACTGATTCCTTAGTATCTTTATAGCATATTTTTGTCATAAAAAGATATGACTGAAAAAAAACTACAGTAAATTCTCTCATAAAGCATGGGTTATATGCCTGATAACCAGTGTGTAGTATAAAGCAACATTATGTGAAGAACAAGCAAGAGATGCATATGTCAACATACCTCCAGATCTGCCTATTTTTAGTGTACAAGGTCAAAACTGAAAAAGGTATAAAATACCAACAAGTTGATGATTAAGACACACGTGGCTTCTCCATTCAAATACAGAGGAGAATGTATTGTAGACAGCAGGAGTTGTGGCAAGGTAAAGATGATGTAATCAGTCCACCAACCTTAGAGTAATAGTTTGAGGCAGTCAGTTCCTCAGCATGGAGAAGAATTTAGCTGGAAGCGAACACTTCTCCAGGCTGAGGGACTGATCACCTCAAAATTAAGTCTTCAAGGGTAATGAACTGATTACATCGTCTTTTTTTTTTTTTTTAACAAGTCGGCCGTCTCCCACCGAGGCAGGGTGACCCAAAAAAGGAAGAAAATCCCCAAAAAGAAAATGCTTTCATCATCATTCAACACTTTCACCACACTCACATATAATCACTGTTTTTGCAGAGGTGCTCAGAACACAACAGTTTAGAAGCATATACGTATAAAGATACATAACATATCCCTCCAAACTGCTAATATCCCAAACGCCTCCTTTAAAGTGCAGGCATTGTACTTCTCATTTCCAGGACTCAAGTCCGGCTATATAAAAATAACCAGTTTCCTGAATCCCTTCACTAAATATTACCCTGCTCACACTCCAACAGATCATCAGGTCCCAAATACCATTCGTCTCCATTCACTCCTATCGAACACACTCATGCACGCCTGCTGGAAGTCCAAGCCCCTCGCACACAAAACCTCCCTTACCCCTTCCTTCCAATCTTTTTGAGGACGACCCCTATCCCGCCTTCCTTCCCCTACAGATTTAAATGCTCTCCATGTCATTCTACTTTGATCCATTCTCTCTAAATGACCAAACCACCTCAACAACCCCTCTTCTGCCCTCTGACTAATACTTTTATTAACTCCACACCTTCTCCTAATTTCCACACTCCGAATTTTCTGCATAATATTTACACCACACATTGCTCTTGGACAGGACATCTCCACTGCCTCCAACCGCCTCCTCGCTGCTGCATTCACAACCCAAGCTTCACACCCATATAAGAGTGTTGGTACTACTATACCTTCATACATTCAATTCTTTGCCTCCATAGATAACGGTTTTTGTCTCCACATATACCTCAACGCACCACTCAAGTACAAGTACTAATTCTGCTGCCTCCTCTGTACTCGACTGAAGAAGCCTACTGTGTAGGCGAAACATTTCAGAATCAAGTTTGCTAACTGTTGCACATGTATCTTACTTATCAATCTGTTGGTATTGCATAGCATTATACAGTGGACCCCCGCTTTACGATCACCTCCCAATGCGACCAATTATGTAAGTGTATTTATGTAAGTGTGTTTGTACGTGTATGTTTGGGGGTCTGAAATGGACTAATCTAATTCACAATATTCCTTATGGGAACAAATTCGATCAGTACTGGCACCTGAACATATTTCTGGAATGAAAAAATATCGTAAACCGGGGGTCCACTGTACTACATGAAACTCAAATCAATGAACAAGTCTATAAAGCAGAATATATTTATTACTGCATCATGAACTCCAAGAATCTTATAACATATAAAAAAGCAAGATGAATTTTTATTACATAATATTGTCCTCTCTCCGTAGAAGAGAGTGAAGTTCTCGGTGGGGTTTGCATAACCTTCGTCCAGTGCGAAACCAACGTTCATTTTCTTGAAGAAATCATTTTTCACAAATTTTTTCATGCCATCTAGTCCACCAATCTCCTCATCTGAAAAAAAAATATAACTGAGTGAATACAACGAACTCCTAATATCGAAATTTAGGAAAGTGCTAACTCTGTTGTACTGCAATAATAATAATAGTTTTGTCCCAGGATGCAACCCACACCAGTCCACTAACACCCAGAATGCGACCCACACCAGTCCACTAACACCTAGGTATGTGACCCACAAACCAGTCACTAAACCCAGGATGTGACCCACACCAGTCCACTAACACCCAGGATGTGACCCACACCAGTCCACTAACACCCAGAATGTGACCCACACCAGTCCACTAACACCTAGGATGTGACCCACACCAGTCCACTAACACCCAGGATGTGACCCACACCAGTCCACTAACACCCAGAATGCAACCCACACCAGTCCACTAACACCTAGAATGCAACCCACACCAGTCCACTAACACCAGGATGTGACCCACACCAGTCCACTAACACCCAGATGTACCCACACCAGTCCACTAACACCCAGGATGTGACCCACACCAGTCCACTAACACCCAGAATGCAACCCACACCAGTCCACTAACACCCAGAATGCAACCCACACCAGTCCACTAACACCTAGGATGTGACCCACACCAGTCCACTAACACCCAGGATGTGACCCACACCAGTCCACTAACACCCAGAATGCAACCCACACCAGTCCACTAACACCTAGGATGTGACCTACACCAGTCCACTAACACCCGTAGAGCCAGAAACGAATATGCACAGATAAGAAGGGAGGCCCAAAGACAATATGAAAACGACATAGCAGCAAAAGCCAAATCTGACCCGAAACTGTTGTACAGCCACATCAGGAGGAAAACAACAGTCAAGGACCAGGTAATCAGGCTAAGGAAGGAAGGAGGAGAGACAACAAGAAGTGACCGTGAAGTATGTGAGGAACTCAACAAGAGATTCAAAGAAGTGTTCACAGAGGAGACAGAAGGGGCTCCAGAAAGACGGAGAGGTGGGGCACACCACCATGTGCTGGACACAGTGCACACAACCGAGGAAGAAGTGAAGAGGCTTCTGAGTGAGCTAGATACCTCAAAGGCAATGGGGCCAGATAACATCTCCCCATGGGTATTGAGAGAGGGAGCAGAGGCGCTATGTGTACCCCTAACAACAATATTCAATACATCTATCGAAACAGGGAGATTGCCTGAGGCATGGAAGACAGCAAATGTAGTCCCAATCTTTAAAAAAGGAGACAGACATGAAGCATTAAACTACAGACCAGTGTCACTGACATGTATAGTATGCAAAATCATGGAGAAGATTATCAGGAGAAGAGTGGTGGAACACCTAGAAACCAACGATCTCATCAACAGCAGCCAACATGGTTTCAGGGACGGGAAATCCTGTGTCACAAACCTACTGGAGTTCTATGACATGGTGACAGCAGTAAGACAAGAGAGAGAGGGGTGGGTGGATTGCATTTTCTTGGACTGCAAGAAGGCGTTTGACACAGTTCCACACAAGAGATTGGTGCAAAAACTGGAGGGACCAAGCAGGGATAACAGGGAAGGCACTACAATGGATCAGGGAATACTTGTCAGGAAGACAGCAGCGAGTCATGGTACGTGGCGAGGTGTCAGAGTGGGCACCTGTGACCAGCGGGGTCCCACAGGGGTCAGTCCTAGGACCAATGCTGTTTCTGGTATTTGTGAACGACATGACGGAAGGAATAGACTCTGAGGTGTCCCTGTTTGCAGATGACGTGAAGTTGATGAGAAGAATTCACTCGATCGAAGACCAGGCAGAACTACAAAGGGATCTGGACAGGCTGCAGACCTGGTCCAGCAATTGGCTCCTGGAGTTCAATCCCACCAAGTGCAAAGTCATGAAGATTGGGGAAGGGCAAAGAAGACTGCAGACGGAGTACAGTCTAGGGGGCCAGAGACTACAAACCTCACTCAAGGAAAAAGATCTTGGGGTGAGTATAACACCAGGCACATCTCCTGAAGCGCACATCAACCAAATAACTGCTGCAGCATATGGGCGCCTAGCAAACCTCAGAACAGCATTCCGACATCTTAATAAGGAATCATTCAGGACCCTGTACACCGTGTACGTTAGGCCCATATTGGAGTATGCGGCACCAGTTTGGAACCCACACCTAGCCAAGCACGTAAAGAAACTAGAGAAAGTGCAAAGGTTTGCAACAAGACTAGTCCCAGAGCTATGAGGTATGTCCTACGAGGAGAGGTTAAGGGAAATCAACCTGACGACACTGGAGGACAGGAGAGATAGGGGGGACATGATAATGACATACAAAATACTGAGAGGAATTGACAAGGTGGACAAAGACAGGATGTTCCAGAGATTGGACACAGTAACAAGGGGACACAGTTGGAAGCTGAAGACACAGATGAATCACAGGGTTGTTAGGAAGTATTTCTTCAGTCATAGAGTAGTCAGTAAGTGGAATAGTTTGGGAAGCGATGTAGTGGAGGCAGGATCCATACATAGCTTTAAGCAGAGGTATGATAAAGCTCACGGCTCAGGGAGAGTGACCTAGTAGCGATCAGTGAAGAGGCGGGGCCAGGAGCTCGGACTCGACCCCCGCAACCTCAACTAGGTGAGTACAACCTCAACTAGGTGAGTACCCAGGATGTGACCCACACCAGTCCACTAACACCCAGGATGTGACCCACACCAGTCCACTAACACCCAGAATGCGACCCACACCAGTCCACTAACACCTAGGATGTGACCCACACCAGTCCACTAACACCCAGGATGTGACCCACACCAGTCTACTAACACCCAGGATGCGACCCACACCAGTCCACTAATATCCAGGTACCCATTTTACTGATTGGTGAACATAGATAACCGGTGTAAAGAAACACGCCAAATGTTTCTACCCTTGCCGGGAATGAGACCCAGACCCTCACTATGTGAAGCAAGAGCTTTAGCCACCAGGCCACGGGGCACCAAGGATCATGGAGCACCAAGGACCGCAGGGCACCAAGGACCACCATGGACCACGGGCCACCGAGGACCACGGAGCACCAAGGAACACTGGGTACCAAGGACCACGGGGCACCAAGGACCACAGGGCACCAAGGACCACGGGGCACCCAGGACCACGTGGCACCAAGGACCATGGGACACCAAGGACCATGGGGCACCAAGGACCATGAGGCACCAAGGACCACAGGGCGCCAAGGACCACAGGGCACCAAGGACCATAGGGCCCCAGGAACACAGGGCACCAAGGACCACAGGGCACCAAGGACCATAGGGCCCCAGGAACACAGGGCACCAAGGACCACAGGGCACCAAGGACCATGGGGCACCAAGGACCACGGGGCACCAAGGACCACGGGGCACCAAGGACCATGGGGCACCAAGGACCACGGGGCACCAAGGACCACAGGGCACCAAGGACCATGGGGCACCAAGGACCACAGGGCACCAAGGACCATGGGGCACACCAAGGGACCAGGATGGCACCAAGGACCATGGGGCACCAAGGACCATGGGGCACCAAGGACCACGGGGCACCAAGGACCATGGGGCACCAAGGACTCAAGTGTCACTGCCAGTTACGCTGGGAAAACAGTAGCTCACAAGGCAACACTGACAGTTGATGAATAAGACACCTGTGCAACATTTGGGAATATTTACTGAGGAAACGTTTTGCTAGCCAGTAGCTTCTTCAGTTCAACACAAGGCAGAATGGCAGTAGAGAAGGAGTTTGAGGTAAACAGTCCCTCAGACTGGAGTCGATGTGCTCAGTCTATCAATCTGACTCCAGGATGAGGGACTGATTATTTCAAATTCTAATTTTTCAACCGTTCTTCTTTGTATTGGACTGAAGAAGCCACTGGCTGGCGAAACGTTTCTTGAATAAAGATTCCTAAATGTTGCACAAGTGTCTAATTCTTCAACTTGTGTTCTAAAACATACATAACAGACAGTATTGTTCACACAGTAGCTGTCTTCTTCATAAAAGGCCACCAGGAAGTATTCTCATTTGCTGTCTCCATAAGATCAAAAAGTATTTTACAAACTGATTTAAGAATTTTACAGGAAAACTAAAACAACAAGTGCGCAAAACATGAAAGGAATTATTAAGCCGAGCTTCATATCATAGTAAAAAAGAAACAATGAAACAGGGAACTAGTCAGTGAGCAAAATGGAAGATTTAGTCTAATCTTCTAATTTAGGAGGACGACAGCCTAAGTAGACAAATAACATCTATCTTCCAATTTTTTCAACAAAACACCAGAAGTAAAACCCTGTGTTAAAAAAAAGTATGCAGACCTCACAATACAAATGAACCTTCAGTTAGTTTAGTTCAATATCTGTATTATGCAGCCCATACCCATCCTGTGGGCGGTAGTTGAAAGATTACAGAGGTACATAATGGGTCCAGGGACTGTACCTCAACATTACAGAGGTACATAATGGGTCCAGGGACTGTACCTCAACATTACAGAGGTACATAATGGGTCCAGGGACTGTACCTCAACATTACAGAGGTACATAATGGGTCCAAGGACTGTACCTCAACATTACAGAGGTACATAATGGGTCCAAGGACTGTACCTCAACATTACAGAGGTACATAATGGGTCCAGGGACTGTACCTCAACATTACAGAGGTACATAATGGGTCCAGGGACTGTACCTCAACATTACAGAGGTACATAATGGGTCCAAGGACTGTACCTCAACATTACAGAGGTACATAATGGGTCCAGGGACTGTACCTCAACATTACAGAGGTACATAATGGGTCCAAGGACTGTACCTCAACATTACAGAGGTACATAATGGGTCCAGGGACTGTACCTCAACATTACAGAGGTACATAATGGGTCCAGGACTGTACCTCAACATTACAGAGGTACATAATGGGTCCAAGGACTGTACCTCAACATTACAGAGGTACATAATGGGTCCAGGACTGTACCTCAACATTACAGAGGTACATAATGGGTCCAGGGACTGTACCTCAACATTACAGAGGTACATAATGG